TTTTTCTGGCATAAAATGAGAGACATTACATAATTCTTAAAAAAATAGCACTTGAAAGGAATTATTTGGCAAAGAAAAACATAGTTTGTAGAACTGCTGTCGTAAATCATATCCTGAAAAAGATCTATTTATTGACTTTTCTTTCTTTTTGTTTAAGGTACAATACAATTGCTCCTTTAGCAGCATATTGATGAAAAAATATGTGTCAACTCGGTGGGGGTGATACCAAATTTCTTTATCAAAACATTACATATAAATTAAAAATAGTCCTGACCACGTCAAAAGAAAACAAAATCAAGACACAATTAATCACATTCTACTGTTTTGAAAACGAATGTCTTCTTGTGTAAGAAGGACACTCAGTTCTCTTTCTGAGACAAGACACATAAACAGGATATGGTGTTTCTTATTTTCCCTTAAGAAGTCTTGGCTTAGTGAAGTAGTAATGTTAAAAAAGATGGCTGTAATCTGTGACAAACAACTGACCTCATTAAAATTCAATTATTGCCCATTTTTGAACAAGCTTTGCCTAGAGTAAGGAGTCTACCTTGAACACTAATTGATTAAAAAAAGTGTACTGACTCTCATTATAGACTTTTTATAAAAATATGTCTTTTGTTAGATTTAATATTTCTAAATTTAGTGTCATAAAACTAATGACCTATAATTAGTAACTTAATAGTTTTGAAATATTGTCTGTGACATATCATATTAGGTAACATATTTATAATGTTTACCATGTGGTAGGCACTATTCTAAACATTTTATATACGTTAACTCATTTACTCTGTACCACAAGCTTGTAAGATAGATAAGAGATATTTACCCTATTTTGAAGGTGAGGAAACTTAAAGCTAAATTTGCAGCCCTGAGAGTCTAGTTGTAGATCCCATGCTAATAACTTTGAAGTATACTGCCTCTCAAAAGCATCGGAACATTTTTCATGAAAATTGGTTCTGTAATTAATAAGCCATTTTAAATTTTATATTTTTATAACACAAGAAATGATATCTTGTATACACTATTTGTTGCTAAAGTTAGAATAAAACATACATAAATAATTCTTCCAAAAGAAATCAGAGAAATATAGTTAAACTATAGAAAGTGTAAGGATTTCCCTAGAGATTTTATATATTTGAGTAGTTGGGTACTTTATTATGAATGATTTTATAAAGAGCAAATAACTCTTGAGAGATTAGATTATTGGAGAAGTAGAAGGGAGATTAGAATTAGCTTCTATGAAGTACTTCTGGAGTTTGGTTGTCATCTGATCATAGAAACAAAATAAATCTCAACAACCCATCATCGAGGCAATCTCAGTATTTAGGAAGTTGATGTAAGTAAGCTGTAGACCTCTTCACAAGAATATATGTAATCACACACATGCAAAATCGTCCTTACAAAATATGTTTTATAACATCGTAAATTGATTTCCCTTGAATAAATAGCATTTAAAAAAGTATCTGTCAAAGTAGGTTTGATTTCCTATTTAAAAGTAAGGCCCGGCAACCTTCAAAAAATAAATACATATTATACAAGTAAACTTTAATTCTCTTCACAACAGAATTTCAAACAAGGATTGATTGTATTTAGCTTAAATAAAAGTTGAAATCATGATCTTCGACAAATTGCTGTGAATAGCATCTTTGGCATAAAATTTGATTCTTAATGCAATAATGGTTCTGTAAAATAAGTAGTAAAGTTGCAAGTATTAGTAAAGTAAATAGTATATAATGTTTAGTTGCCTATGATGTGCTTCCCTTACCTTGTGATAAGGATATTACCATCTGCATTTTACAAGTGATAAAACTGAGGCTTAGATTAATAATTT